ATGCCAGTAAGCTCACAAAGTAGAATTTTTGCTCACAGGACTCCACAGCTTAGAGGGAGTACTGACTGGGATTCCTGTTCCCCCTCCTCCCTCCCACCCAAATCTGCCTGAAAGAGCAGGAAAGACAAGCCCCCTTCCCCCCCTGCCCCACAGCGTGTGTGTGCACCTCATCCGCAGCCACCTCTCGGGCTCCACGGACATGGGGAGGGGGTGGTGCCTCGCCTCAGTGCCCCCCCAGGGAAGGAGGGAGGCACCCTCGCCTGAGCCATGCCGGAGCTGCCGCCACTGCCCTACTCACCACGCCTTTATGCCACTTGTCTCTGAGGCAGCTCCTGGCAGTCACCGAGAGCGGTGCACTTGGAACCAGCCCCAGGGCTCCCTCCGGCTCCTGGGAGAGGGAAGGGGGCCAGGCACATTTGTGAGGGGGCATCGCCCCCCGGGTGCCCCGGCTGGCAACCCTACTCACACACACACAATGGCAATTACTGAACGCTAGGATGAAACAAAGCGACAATCTCTACAGCTAAAGTTCATTGGTCTTGACCCCTCTTAACATTGCACAGATGAAAGAGAAGAACACTTTTCCTGCCCTCCTTCTCACACCAAGGATCACTTCGGCTGGGCCCTTCCTCTCCCGTTCCACAGGGCCTTCTTCTCCCGCTGCTTTCCTTCCCTCTGCAATTGCACCCTCGCTATGGTCTTAAAAGCCGAAACACAATTGGTGGTGGTTGCTAAAGACAGGCTGGGGAAAGTGAAATTGCCGTACAGTTGGTTAAGAGTTCAAACTCAGCAGCGGAATGAGAAATGGCACGCCGTGTGTGGTGCCTCAACATTTGTGCGCGCACGTTCATGGGCATGTGTGCTAGAGAGAAGGTGTGTCCACCTCTCACTTGGAGACTGAACTCCTAGGGACCCCAAAGAAAGAGCCGAGCTGTGAAGGACAAAGGCAGTCATTCTGACTTTGAAAACAAGGCATCCTCAAAGGGAAAACTAAAGGCATTGGTGGTGGGGAGAATAGGGAGCATTCTGCACCAAAGAATGTTGCATGAAATGGAGGCTGTCTTTGGTAAATGGCAACGACTGCAGCATACGTAATAGAGGGGTGAAGAACCAAGTGATGAATATGCGGGAACTCGCTCTTAGGGCTGATTTCCATGGGTCAGAGCTCGAATCCTCCCATTTAGCCTCCCAGGTAGGGAATTATCAGCCCCAATTTCCTGCCCCCAAGGAATTAAGGAGCTGGAGAAAAAATGGCCTCCCCTAGTGACAGTCTAATGGCAGAAAGTGAAGAGGACCTAAGGAGCCTCTTGCTCAGAGTAAAAGAGGAGAGCGCAAAAGTGGGCTTGAAGCTCAACATAAAAAAAAACTAAGATCATGGCATCCGGCCCCATCACTCCTTGGCAAATAGAAGGGGAAGTCGTGGAAGTAGTGACAGACTTCACGTTCCTGGGATCCCAGATCACCGCAGACTGTGACAGTAGCCATGAAATTAAAAGATGCCGGCTCCTTGGGAGGAAAGCGATGGCGAACCTCAACAGCATGATAAAAAGTAGAGACATCACCCTGCCAACAAAAGTCCGCATGGTCAAAGCAATGGTATTCCCAGTAGTCATGTATGGCTGCGAGAGTTGGACTATAAGGAAGGCCGAGCACCGAAGAATAGATTATTTTGAACTATTTTGAACTATGGTGCTGGAGAAGACTCTTGAGAGTCCCTTGGACTGCAAGGAGATCAAATCAGTCAATCCTAAAAGAAATCAACCCTGACTGTTCCCTGGAAGGCCAGATAATGAAACTGAAGCTCAAATACTGGCCACCAAATGAGAAGGGAGCACTCACTGGAGAAGATCCTGATGCTGGGAAAGATTGAAGGTCAAAGAAGACGGGGACGGCAAAGGATGAGATGGTTAGACAGTGTCATAGATGCAATGAACATGAAATTGAGCCAACTTCAGAGGATGGCGGAAGACAGGAGGGCCTGGCGGGAGCTGGTCCATGGGGTCGCGAAGAGTTGGACTCGACTGTGCGACTGAACAACAACAAAAGTGACAGTCTAGTAATTTCTCCTAGTCTGTATGGTAAAGTCCATTGAGGTGAGGGGAAGCAGCCTAGAGCCTCGTCCAGGAGGGCCATCACATCCTGACCAAGTGGAAAGATGGCAAAGCAGGATTTGGAGCCCCGTGAAAATCACAAGGTGGGGACCCTGGACAACCCTGTGAACTCCATCACAGTCAGATTCTACTCGCATCTTCTCTGTTTCTCATGGACACTGTTTCTGCCCTGGCTGGGGCTGCAACAGTGTCAGAAGGCTCTTTAGCCTTCTCCTCCTCCCCCACCACCCCCCTGGTTACCCAGAGCCAGTGTGGTGGTTAGGAGCTGAGGACTCTCATCTGGAGAACCAGGTTTGATTCCCCACTCCTGTGCATGAAGCCTGCTGGGAGACCCTGGGCCAGTCACAGCTCTCTCAGAGCTCTCTCAGCCCCACCTACCTCACAAGGTGCCTGTTGGGGGGAGAGAAAGGGAAGGCAGCTATACACAACTTTGAGACTCCTTAAGGTAGAGTAAAAAGATACAGGTAAAGGTTTCCCTTGCTCGAAAGCCTGTCAGATCCAATTCTAGGGTTGCGGTGCTCATCTCCGTCTCCAAGCCGAAGAGCCAGCACTGTCCAAAGATGTTTTCATGGTCATGTGGCCAGCATGACTAAACACCAAGGCACACGGAATGCTGTTACCTTCCCACCAAAGCGGTACCTGTTTATCTACTTGCAATTTCTTGCTTTCGAACTGCTAGGTTGGCAGGAGCTGGGACCAGAGACGGGAGCTCACTCCGTCCCATGGCACGAGGGTCTTGAACTGCCGAATGACAGACCTTCTGGGTTGCAGCTCAGCGTCTTAACCTCTGAGCCACCGCGGCCCCTAAGGTAGAGTAAAGCAGGCTATAAAAACTACTCTTCTTCTTCTTCTACCCTGAAACGAAATTATCTGGGGAAGGAGCTATTTGGCTCCTTGTGGAAGACCAGCCACGTGGTCTTCTGCAAATGGATCAAACAATGTCCCTCACTAGGCCATGTGTGTTCGGAGTGGCAGTGCTGGGTGGATGGGAAGTTAACACTACCTTCTACACACTGCCGCAGTCCTGACCGCAGTAGAAGAAGTGCACATGAAGAACAGAGGAGAACATACAACTACCTCAAGGGTTGCCAGATTCCAGGTGGTGGGTGGAGAGCTCCAGCTATTACAACTTATCTCCAGACAACCCAGATCGATTCCCATGGAGAAAAAGGCTGCTTTGGAGGATGGGCTGTATGGCATTATATCTGGATGAGGCCCCTCCCCTCCCCAAACCACTTGCTCCCTAGGCTACATCCCCCCACAGATCTCCAGGTATTCCCCCTTACCCAGAGCTGGCAACCCTACGCATGACGGATGAAATTGATGTTGGGTCCAGGATCCATCCACATCTTAAACCCAGTCTTGTGGAAATAGACCACTAGATTTGCAGGTTTTTTGCACTTTTGGAGAACGGACGTGCGAAACTCTTTCTCTTCCTCCCTCTGTCTATTTTATATGTAAGGAAGTAAATTTTACTGCACTGGCTCATGAGGCATGGCAAACATTACAACAAACATTAATTAACGATAGGGAAAATACAACAAACATTCTATGCAACAAATATTAATTAAAAATAACGAGGAACAAATAAAATCAACATCTAATGTATAAAATTAAACAGTCAAACCATTAAAATGTAGTCAATCAAACATCTTTCCCTTCGACTCTATTAATATAATGGCGTCACTAAGTGCAAAATGAATGTTATGGTGCACATATTGAGCGAGTTCTCACACGCGTAAACAGGAGGGAAATGCAACTGAATATGCAACTGGTTCTTATATTTTCATTTTGCATGCTGTTTTTCTCTACTGAGTCTCCGGAACCTGGTTCACACATGCAGGCGAGGGAGGTGGTAGCAGAGATCTCGGGTGGCCAGCCACCAGGCTGGATCTGGAGTTCTCTTTGAATCACAACCGGTCTCCAGAATACAGAGATCGATTCCCCTGGAGGAAATGCACCTTTCTCTCTGTTGTGATGGTTGCCCATTTGCATGCAGTTTTTCATGTCAAGCGGTAAAGGTAAAGGTTCCCTTGCTTGAAAGCCAGTCGAATCCGACGCTAGGGTTGCGATGCTCATCTCCGTTTCAAAGCCGAAGAGCCAGCGCTGTCCGAAGACATTTCCGTGGTCATGTGGCCGGCATGACTAAACCCCAAGGCGCACGGAACGCTGTTACCTTCCCACCGAAGTGGTACCTATTTATCTACTGGCAATTTCTTGCTTTCAAACTGCTAGGTTGGCAGGAGTTGGAACTAGAGACGGGAGCTCACTCCGTCATGCGGCACACTCGGGTCTCGAACTGCTGAACTACTGACCTTTCACAGCCTGCAGTTCAGCGTCTTAACCACTTGAGCCACCACAGCTCCTTGTCAAGGAATAGTCAAAGCTTAAATCTACCCCCTGCGGTCTCAAGTGGTGGTGTCTGTTTAACCACCTCAGCATTCGTAGCCCCTCAGGCACTGAAGGTGTGAACCACACCTAGGCAGGAAAACCCACTTGGGGATGGTTTCCCAGGGATGCATTCATGCCTGTGTCCTGAATACAAGACCAATGTTCCCCCTAAGCTATGGAGTCTTGTGAGCAAAAATTCTACTTTGTGAGCTACTGGCATTAAAGCTGTGAGCGAGCCATTTGGCTCCTGCATAAATTAGTTGGCTCTGGAGCCCTCCTTCCTGAGCTAAGACAAAAATCTGTGAGCCGGAGGCTAAAAAACTGTGAGCTAGCTCACACTAACTCAGCTTAGAGGGAACACTGTACAAGACCCACACTGTACTTCTTGGAGACAATCCGAGACCCTCCGTTTCAGATCCAGCCTCCCCTATAGGGAAACACATTGCTTACAGATAGGATCTGTTGTTTCTCATCATGCCAGGATCTACAGCAGGCAGGATGTCGGGGGACCAAAGCAGGAGGCGAGTTGGCATTGTGGGCTACGGACATTTAGGTAAGTAGCATTTTCTGGCCATTGCACTTCTAAGGTGAGACTCACCACTCTTCTGTCATCTGGTGGCTTAGTGGCAGAGTATCTGCTTGGCATGCAGACGGTCCCAAGGTTTAATCCTCCGCATGTGCTGTTAAAAGGATAAGATAGTGTGTGATGGGAAAGAGCTCAGGAGAAGACCCGGAGAGCCACTGCCAGTGTTCCCTCTAAGCTGAGTTAGTGTGAGCTAGCTCGCAATTTTTTAGCCTCCAGCTCACAGATTTTTGTCTTAGCTCAGGAAGGAGGGCTCCAGAGCAAAGTAATTTATGCAGTAGCCAAATCGCCGGCTCACAACTTTAAAGCCAGTAACTCACAAAGCAGAATTTTTGCTCACAAGACTCCACAGCTTAGAGGGAACATTGGCTGCTAATCAGAATAGACAATACTGGCCTTGACACATTGGTGGTCTAACTCAGTATAAGGCAATTTCACGTGTTCATCCAACTCAGTAGCTTCATCAGTAAGCCAAGGAATCCTTTTGCTGAATATGAGTAAGTAGGATTGGCTGGTGTTCTACGCTAACATGGATATAGGGTTGCCAGCTCTGGGTTGGGAGATTTGGGGGGAGGAGCCAGAGGAGGGGTTTTGGGAGAGAAGGGACTTCAGGGGAGTATAATGTCATAGAGTCTACCTTCCAAAGCAGCCATTTTCTCCAGAAGAACTAACCTCTGCAGTGGGAGATCTCCAGCCACCACCTGGAGGTTACATAAGAACATAAGAGACGCCAATGTTGGATCAGGCCAAAGGCCCATCCAGTCCAACACTCTGTGTCACACAGTGGCCAGAAATACCAGGTGCCATCAGGAGGTCCACCAGTGGGGCCACCAGGTTGGCAACCCTACATGGATATCTCTTCATTCACAAGAACCTTTCTTGTTTAAATGTGCCTCATGGAATATTTTGGAATGTCCCATTTTGGAAAAAGAGGCCATCGTGACCAGAGCACTGGTACATTGTTATTTTCATCCAGCGAGTAAGAGCCTGGGCCCCCAGGTCAGGCTCTTCAGCTCTCAGAAGCTAAGCGGGGTGACTGCTGGTTAGTACTTGGATGGGAGACCCCCAAGGAAGACCAGGGTCACTACGCAGAAGCAGGCAATGGCAAACCACCTCCGGACGCCTCTTGCGTCCGCCATAAGTTAGCATGGCTACGGCCTGACAATGCTTTCCACCACCACCAGGGTCCTAACAGGAGCCAGCTGTGGTGTAGTGGTTAAGGTAAAGGTAAAGGTTCCCTTGCTCGAAAGCCAGTCGAGTCCGACTCTAGGGTTGCGGTGCTCATCTCCGTTTCAAAGCCGAAGAGCCAGTGCTGTCCGAAGACGTTTCCGTGGTCATGTGGCCGGCATGACTAAACACCAAGGCGCACGGAAGGCTGTTACCTTCCCACCAAAGTGGTACCTATTTATCTACTTGCAATTTCTTGCTTTCAAACTGCTAGGTTGGCAGGAGCTGGAACGAGAGACGGGAGCTCACTCCGTCATGCAGCACCCGGGTCTCGAACTGCTGAACTACTTACCTTCCACAACCTGCAGTTCAGCATCTTAACCACTTGAGCCACCGCAGCTCTGTAGTGGTTAAGAGCAGCGGACTAATATGGAGAACTGGGTTTGATTCCACACTCCTCCACATGCAGCTAGCTGGGTGACCTTGGGTCAGTCAGTTCTCTCAAAGCTCTCTCAGCCCCACCTCCCTCACAAGGTGTCTGTGGTGGGGAGAGGAAGGGAAAGCGATTGTAAGCCGCTCCATGTCTCCTTTAGGTAGTGAAGGGCGAGGTATAAAACCAACCCCTACTCCTACTCCTCTTCTTCTTCATCCTCTGTTATATTCTGCTGTCCTCTACCTTATTAAAGAGAGCCAGTTCGGTGTAGTGGTTAAGTGCGCGGACTCTAATCTGGGAGAACCGGGCTCGATTCCCCACTCCTCCACTTGCACCTGCTGGATGACCTTGGGCAAGCCATAGTTCTGTCAGATCTGTTCTCTCAAGGACAGTTTCTGTCAGAGCTCTCTCAGCCCCACCTCCCTCACAGGGTGTGGGGAGGGGAAGGGAAAGGAGTTTGTAAACCACTCTGATGAGACTCCAAGTGAAGGGAGGGGTATAAATCCAATCTCCTCCTCCTCCTCCTCCTCCTCCCTCCTCCTTTTTCAAGGGTACTGTAAGTTGGCCCTTTATTTATAGCAGTCGGCTCCTTTCCTCCGCCATGTTGCCTTCTGATTCAGCTGGGGGAAAAAACAAAAAACAATTTAAGCCGCTGGAAAATCCCCACAGTGTCTTGAGCTCCTCAGAGTGATAAACAGGAAAGGGCACTTGAGCGGGCCACCTACTGATTCAGACCAAGCAGGGTTATATGACAAGAAGGGAGATTTGCCAAGAGTTAATGGAACTGTTTCCTAAATAAAGAGACAAGATTTTATTTTTATTTTTTTGGGTCTGGATTAAGAGGGGATTTCCAGCCTGCCAAATGGTTGTTGCTCATGCGTTCGCCTCGTGAACAGCGAGAGGGGTAAGGATGTTGATGCAATGTCATGGGATGGCATGAATCGATGGATAAGTCTCCAGTTTGGGTTGGTAGCCTGCAAAGCAGCCCAAGCCTTATAAGGAGACATTTCCCACTTGGTTCGATAGTGGTTTCTAGTGTGAATCAAAATGAAGAGGGTACTCCACTGAAGGGGATCGAAGATGGGTCGCACCTGGAAGAGAGGCTCTTCTCCTTCTTTCTCATTCGAGTTGTATTGCTATCTGTCACCTTCTTGCCCTTACGCTCTCTCTTCTGAGCGGGGTCAGAGATTTGCCTCTTGGCCCCCTAACTGCTGGGAGTGAGCTAGAAAGGGCCGACTCGCTTTGTCTGTCATACAGCTCCTGAAAACTGGCAAGATCATTACTTTCAGTCCTGGGTTACGCAGCACTAGTCTTATGGGGAGATTTAGCAACAGAACGACAAGGAAGTCCGTGTGCGAGCCTTGGCGCCTTCCGTCATCATTTATGCCAAACGCAGAACATATTGCTCATCATATACATCATAATAGAGTGGTTAATTGGTTAAGAATGCCTAACAGTTGCTTCTCGGGTGGGTTTTGTTTCTCTCACTGCGAGGAATGAAGGATTGCTTGAAATTAATCCAAGTTTATGAGCTTGGAGGAGAAAGCCTTGCTGTTCACACCTCCACAGCAGCCAGTTGGTAGTCCTCAACCGGTCCATTGTCTCCTTGTGTCGCCTGCTTTAAGGGTACTAGAAGGAAGAATGGAAATCCACAACTGGGACTCTCCCTGACGGCTTGCTAGTGGAGGAGGTTTGTCAGCTCAGGATTGAGCATTTGGGGGGATTTGGGGGGTGGAGTCTGAGGAGGGGAGGGGAGGAGCTTCAGTGGGGTATAAGACCATAGAATCCGCCTCCCAAAGCAGCCATTTTCTCCAGGTGCACTGATCTCTGTCACCTGGAGATCAGTTATAATGGGAGATCTCCAGCCACCACCTGGCCACCCTATAGGGAAGTCTTTCCCAAGACCCACCCCAGTTCTAAGACCAGAGTATTTGATTTGGAGGCAGCATGCCAACTTGCCCTTATTCTTTGATCTGTGCAAGATGCGGCCTTTATGCCTCTAACTCTCCATTTGATATATCCAGGTGGGCATCCGTGTTGGTCTGAAGCAGTAGAACAAAGTTCACACCTTGAATAAAACTTTGCTGGTCTGAAAGAGTCCACTGGACTCAAACTTGGTCCATCGGATAGGTATTGAGATCCAATGAAACAATCCTCTGCTCTCTTGTACGTTGATTGCTCCTCTAATGATGAAAGATTTGAATGAAGACAGGTTCCACATCTGGTCTTTTATTTTGTTTCCAACTACGTGCTTGGCTCTTCCCTCGGGCAGGGTGGCCAACCTTCAGGTGGAGCGTGGAGCTCTCCCAAAATTATAGTTTACAAGTGGGGACCCGCAAGAAACTTGTAGAGAGCGGGCATTCCCCCACCTTTGCTTCCTTCCCACTCCCCCCATCTTCCCCCGTTCTTTCTCTCCCTAAGCCAATCCCCCTTTCTTTTTCATTCTAACCCTCTACCAAGCCAATCCTTCCTTCTTTGTCTTTCTCTCTCTCTCTCCCAGCCAATCCCCCCTTCTTTCTCTCCCCTCCCAAGCCCATACCCCTGCCTTTCCTTTTCTCTCTCTCCCCCCACAAGCCAATCCCCCCTTCTTTCTCCCTCCCTCTTTTTCCCTACCCTTTTTTTTTTTAAAGTTTTCAGATTTTTCTGCAAACCTAGGGGTCACCCAAGTTTGCAGAAAAAACTCATTTGGGGTAAGTATGTCCCCTATCTGTGGATTTAGATATCCGCACATAGAGGACTTCAGATAGGTAATTAAATACATAGATATTGACAGAGAACAGCTCCCCTGGGGAAAATGGCAGCTCCAGAGGGCATCGCATCCCTGCTCCGTTCACTCCCATCCCCAGACTGTGCCTTTCCCATGCTCCATCCCCAAATCTCCAGGAACCTCCCAATCTGGACTCAGCAGTCTTACCTTCAGAGGTACTGAAAGATGCCACCCTAGGATAAACGTGAGCTCTGCCTGTTGATCCAGACCTTTAATTTTTCTTATGTTTGAGTACCTGAAGCTGAGACTGAAGCTGAGTCAGTCTGAGACTTCCAGGTCAATGTGCCAGGATTCCTTAGATCCTGTTCGTGTCTTTGTAGGACTGTAAGAAAAGAGAAGGGCCCAGAATCTGTGATGCATTTCTGTACCCAGGTCAATATCTTGTGCAACGACTCCAGGATGAGGGTCCTCGGCATGGCTTGGAGCTGGCCTTTGTGTGGAACCGGGATGCCGACAAGTTGAAGGGGACGGTGCCGGCAGAGCTGCAGTTGGGGAAGCTGGCCGATTTCTTGGAGCGGTGAGCTGGCAGACCCGGCCGGGACTCTTCTGGCATGGCCAGGATGGGTAGAATGACATGCCATGGACCCACAGGCATGCATGTCCCAGGCAGTGTTCCCTCTAAGCTGCGTTAGTGTGAGCTAGCTCACAGTTTTTTATCCTCTGGCTCAGATATTTTTATCTTAGCTCAGGGAGGAGGGCTCCAAAGCAAACTAATTTATGCAGCAGCCAAATTGCTCGCTCAAAACTTTAATGCCAGGAGCTCACAAAGTAGAATTTTTGCTCATGAGACTCCACGGCTTAGAGGGAACATTGGTCCCAGGGTATACTTGCAATTGCTACAAATGAACAATGGGCTGGATCCAGCGATGCGTGAGCAGAAAGGAAAACACACTTCATGCGGTTCCCCTTGTGCAAGCGGTGGTGTGATGGCTGCAGCAATTTTTAACAAAATAACAATGTGTTGTCTGGAGCAATGGAATGTGAAACAATTGATTTACATGATTTTATATCATTTTATTTATTTATTTTGATTTGTATCCCACCCTCCCAAAGGCTCAGGGCGGTTCACATGCAGCAAAAAAAAATTGCTTTTGGAATTGTATCACCAGGGATACCTGTTGCACATGTGGAAATCTTCTACGGGATCCAGCCCACTATGTCCACAATGTGCACACTTCAGGGCTAGGGTTCCCAACACTGCCTAGGCAAATGCTGGAGGGTTTGGGGGGCCGTGCTTGGGGAGGGAGGGCAGAATTTCACTCCTGGGTGACTGTCACGGTACCTCCCTTTTCTGTTGTGTGGTTAGGTATGATGTGGTTTTAAAATTCTTCTTGTTTCTTTCTCTCACTCAGCGTATGTAATGCTGCCACCAGGTATACAATTCCAGTCTTTAATTAACCTTTCCCACAGTGTTGTGCCCAAACTCTAAGGCTCCTTCGTTGGACTATGTGGTTCGGAGGATGAGACTTGTTATGTCCTAACAAAGGACCATGCACGCGGTCAGCCTCGCACGTGGCCTAGCGAACACATGGAGCTTTGCGACCTAGAACAATGGACACTGAGGATCCTAGAATAGACCTATTGGCCGATCTGGATCCTAGAATGAACCTATGGTTAGGGGCAGTGTTCCCTCTAAGCTGAGTTAGTGTGAGCTAGCTCACAGTCTCACACATTTTTGTCTCAGCTCAGGAAGGAGGGCTCCAGAGCAAACTGATTTATGCAGTAGCCAAATTGCTCACTCACAACTTTAACGCCAGCAGCTCACAAAGTAGAATTTTTGCTGACAGGACTCCACAGCTTAGAGGGAACATTGGTTATGGGGGCACTGTAAATACACCTATCACGGGTGTGGGGTGTGTGTTGGGTGTGGTTTGGAACCAGCATATAAGCAGGCCCCCGGGCCCCACTTTCCTGTCGCAGTTTCTACCTACGAATAAATCATAAGCTGAAATCACTCCTCTATGCTTCTTGAACCCAGTACATTTCAAGACTCTTATATTTTAAACAGCTTATGACCCTGGGTTAACAATAAACAAGATAAACCTTTATTGGTAAAGGAAATGTATTGGTTACAAGATGTTTTGTTAAGTTGTTTAGTAAGATCTTTCCCTTTTAACTCTGGTTTCTGTCAGCGTTCCCCCCTCACACTCTTATAATACTCTGACAATATTAGATTTTGACTAAATTGCCCCCTTAAGTATGTGTCTTCCTCCTTTAGAATCTTAATGCCTTTCACAGCACTTCTATATGATTCTAATTAGAAGACTGCTTCTCAGACTCTGTGTAGATTGACCACAACTGACAGCTGCTGACTGCTGATTTCAGACTTCTGACTGAACACTCGGCCTTCTCTCTCTCTCTACACACACACACACACAGCTCTGCCCATACAAACCAGTCACCTGACTCACTCATCTCACTCTTTCACCCCCTTGTTCTTCTGACACTTACCAACCATTTAAAGGAACACACACGTATAACTTGAAATCATTACCGTGGCACTCTAGGAATTTCCATTAATCTCTATGGTTAAAGAGCATAGATACTAGAGGAAATTCCTAGAGCATCACAATGGAAGCCATTTTTTCCCCTCCGGCTTCTCTGTTTCTCAAGGCTGTGAAATTGGGGCTGGGGAATTTCCCACTGGGGCTGAGCAACTGGGAAACTGATTCAGGACCAGGTTGCATAACTAAAATCCCCCCCACCCTCAATTTATGCAGCTTTTTTTTTTTTTTTTGCTGTTTTCGTTGAAGGATTGCCTGCCTTAAATCCAAGGGCCGGTTCATACCCATGTGTTCATCACTTCATTCTTGTGCACTTGTTGGCTGGGATCCTCGTGTAGGTCATCCTTAAAGGCTAATCCAGTCTTTTCCCACGTTTTGCTCTCTCCAAAGCTGTGCTGACATCATTATCGAAGTGGCTCATCCCTGCATTGCCCAGACCCATGGGGAGTCCTTTCTCAAAGCTGCAGATTTCATGGTGAGGGTTCCAACTGAATTTCCTTACCCACCGAGGGTAAAACAAATGTAACTTCCAGCAATAGGTTGGGGGGGGGCTGCCACCTGTGTGGTGGGGGGGGGGGGAGGTTGGCTTTGGGTCAGGTTCTGTATATTCCCACCTCCACTCTTCATCTGATACACCAGCATGGATTTTCATCCCTCTCATCATACTTCAGAAAGCCCTTTCCCCTTCCAAAGCATCCTTTAAACATCTGTCCATGTAGATGTTTACTGTTTGTTTCTGAGCGACATTGTTCTGAGCG